ATGATAAACACTTTTTGTTCTTGAGAAAACACCATTTTAAACGCTTTTTAAAACGAAAATATTCAAATTGATAGCGGCGATATAGCGCTTTGACAGATGACGTTTAAGTTCATTTGCTATACGCTTCGCCCTACGTCCAAATTTTCAGAACCAACTTGACCACGTTTTTATTTGAACGCTCGTTATAAAGATATGACCGAAAATATTTTTTTTTTGGAAAATTGAACACCCTGTTTCTCGAAAACCACATCTTCCAGGAAAAAAGTTTATAGAGCAAACTCTACTTATTTTTTGGCAACTAATCTATTCCTACAATTTCTGTACTTAAAGTGGAATCAATCTATATTTAAAGGACGAAAACTAAATAAAATGACTTGTACACTTATTATTTTTGTTGCTAGAGTTGAAGAAAAATTGTTGTGAAAGTGAATTTTAAGTTATAGAAGCTAGTAAGCAAGTATAATAAAAAAAAAGAAAAACTAAATGTCATATATACCTATGCAAGTACAAAAAAAACTGATATGTCTATTGAATCTACCATACCACCATTATTAAAATAATTATGTACTTTCTTCTATTGCGGAAGAACTTTATTTTGCCTTTATATGGGTATTTAACTATTTATTATAATATTCAGTGATAACTTCCTCACATCTGTTTCTTAATCAGAACGTCAAGTGACTAGCGGGATTAAATTGCTACGGAAGTGCTTCATTTTCTGTGCTTCCTTTATCGCTATTAGGCTTAGAAATAAAAATTCGCGTGTTATCCGATGTTGCTTCTAAAAATGTCTTCCATACTTATCAAATAATTGTATTAAAAATAGTGCAGCCTTGGAAATCGCCTCCAGTCGTTGCTTTAGATTCCAATGGCATAGCAATATTATTTGTCACACATGATATTTACAAAAAAAAAAAATAGTTGTTTAGTGTTTTAAGTAGCATTTTATCCATGCAAGATGTTTAAACGCGAGAACGGAGTTCGAGCGTTTAATATTCTTATGTGGATAAAAGGAAATTAAAACACGAATGCAATACAACGTTTTATCCATAATCACATCACAATCATAACATATTTGGGGAGAAGAATTATTAGAATTTAATAAAACAATACTTGCACGACATGATATTTCTTACTAGTACTCAATGAAACGTCGTAGGTTTTGTTATACTTACTTATTATCAATTTATTTAATAAACAGTTCTATCTGAATTTGCTAAAAATGCAAGAAAGTAATTGTGTTCCTGTGTCTGTTTTTGAAGAAGCTCAAGAAGCAATTTTCAATTTATTGCCAGCGAAATCCAGGGAACATTAAGAAACAGTGTTCGCCGAATTTAACGAATGGAGGGAAAACGGAGAGTAATGACAAAAATGAAGAAGTCATGCTATAGTATTTTTTAAATTTGAAGAGAAAATATGCAATTTCATCTATGTGGTCGAAGTATTCGATGTTGAAGGTTACTATAAAGGTCTACAAAAATATAACCATTGAAAAATATAACAAGCTTACTGCTTACCTGAAGAGTGAATCGAGAGGATACAAAGCAAAAAAAGCTGCAGTATTGGAAAAAGGACATATTGAAGAATCTTTAACTGGGGCTTCCGATAAAGAATATTTTCTAATGATTAAGGTAATATCTCTTTACATTTTACATGTTGTGAGGTATATAGTGAACTCTGAATTATTTTAGGTTGCACTATTAATGGGTGTTTCTGGTGCCTGTCGATGCTGCGAATTGACAAATTTGAAAATTAGTGGCAGTTACCTACTTGTTTCAGTACCTGACACCAAGACGGGCATTTCAAGAAAATTTACAATTATAGAAGTAGGATTTTGCGTGCATGCTGCTAAAATATGCAGAAAATATATTTGTCTGCACCCAATTCACCTAACACAGACAGATTCTTTTTAAGATACATCAATCAAAAATGTACTTGGAATCAACACATTGGCGAAGGTACCCTCAATAGTTGTTTCATTCTTGAATATCGCAAATCCAGAAGGATATACTATATACTGGCCAATATACAAGGTGCACTTCAACAACTTTACTGACCAATAAAGGTGCTGATCTTACAATCATCAAACGGCATGGTGGATGGAAGAATTCCTCTGTAGCAGAAAGTTATGTTGACGAGTCTATATCTAACAAACTTGATATTGCAAGGTAAATCCAAAGAAATTGTAGCTATTCCTTACAAGAAGAGACATTCGTAACTTGTGCAAATTCTTCACAAACTTCGGCAGATGTTATGCATTCCGAAACTGATGGCAACAATGCTACAAGGGTCGTTATTAACGGAAAGGAAGTTAAATGTGATAAAATAAAAAACGAAACGTCTATTACTATAAATGTTAATAAGTAAATAAATTAAGTTTGATTTATTATAGGTTTATTATTTTTTCATTATTCTACTATTGAAATAGTAACTTTATCCGACTAGTGGATAAAGTATTACTTTAGACGGTTCATATGTGGATAAAAGTCCGATTATAAGGTGACTATGTATAAAATATATTTTTTACTTTAGTTGTTTCTTAATATAATGATATTTTTACCTTGAGACAGTTTTTTTGTATATACCTATATCATGTGCGATACATTATTTGAAAAGAAATATTACGATTTTAAAATTCGAAGAAGATATAGCGATTTGCATTTAAGATTCCTTATTCCAAGTTCCTAATTTCGAATTTCATTCAACTTTAATTCTGTCTACTAAGTCTCTATGTGCGGAAAACCCAACTAGAAACAAGACAATGAGCGAAATCCAAATTTTCACCTATGTTCCGAATTCAATCGCCTAAGCTGTTCACAGTCGGAATACAAAGTTGAACTACATTTTTGCATTGTATAGCATTTGTAAAAACAAACTTTTTTCGATTCAGAACATTGTCAAAAATTTGTTGCTCAAGATCCAGACCAGCCATCTAGCCTCAAATCCACACATGACTTTCCGTTCTTCTGGCGAGGATAGTAAAGGATAAAATAAAAATCCTAAAAGATAAAAAAGTGCAAAAAGTGCTCATCAGAAGATTTAAACCATTTTGGAATAAATGACAGTCTTAGTCAAAATAGAGGTATGGGGAAAACAAACATACAAGCGAAATATTACTTTGGCTTATAAAAAAAAGAAAAATGTCACGCACGCCTCTCAATTCTACTTAATAAAACTGAACAAATCTTTTTACTTAATTGAAAAATTGTATTCATGTAACTGTATTACAGTAAAGGAGATATCGAGATTTAGTTTTCGCCATCCAATTTTCCCCCCAAAAAAGGTATAGAGCCTGTACATTTATTTTATTTTTATTTTATCATAGCAATTTTGCTCTTTCATTATAAGTTGGATTATGTTTTATTATTCTTTTAATATAGAAATACCTAAAAATTAAGAAGTTAATGTTATTGTAGCTCATATAATATTTTACACATCTAATATTAATAACTTTTACATGTTGCTACATCTCATTTTACTAATTCAGCCAAAATACTATGTTCTCCCTTAAAAGTTTCATAAGCAATGATAATTATAATGAAATGTACCTACTTAATTTCGATTACCGATGCGCTTTGTATAAAATGTTCAGTTTTAACCATCTCTTCCCCGAAAATATAACAAGTTTAATAAGTTGAGTTAAATATTATGAATACAAATGAAGTTATTTAAAAGGTTTTTTGATATTTGCATCCTTGATATTAAAATTTCAGACAAGAACCTGAAGAAAGTTTTAATTAAAATAATCCATAAAAATGAAGGACCATTTACATTTTACCAGAGTATCAGATGTAATTAGTTAAATACATTCATTGTATATGTATTAGGGTGGCCCAAAAGAAAACGAATATTTTTTTTCATGTCTCTTGTGAAAATATGTTAGTTTATCATGTTTTAAGAGCCCCCTCAAAAAATCAGCTCAAAAAATATTTTTTTAGAGGCCGCTCAAGATTTTTAAAAATTTCCAGTCGTCAAAAATTTATTTTTTTTTAATTTTTTTCTCGTTATTTTATCATTTCCTAGGTTGAAAAAAATCTTGATTCTGAAAATTTCAAATCGATATTTTAATTTCTAAAGGGCACTCATAATTATTTTAACTTTCAAAGTAGTGTACCTACCTATGTTTTCGAGGGACCTCTAAAAATAAATATCAACGACCTAATATTTTTTTTTATTGAATTTGATGAAAAAAAGGATAAAAATAAATCACGACACTTAAATTTTAAAAAATTAAAAAATTATAAATATTTGATACTCGCAGTGCGGTAGTAAATTTTGCCTCGAGAAATTTTTTTGAATGTCGTGATTTATTTCTATTCTTTTGTTCAATTTAAAGTTAAAATAATTATGAGTGACCTTTAGAAATTAAAATATAGACTTGAAATTTTCAGAATCGAGATTTTTTTCAACCTAGAAAATGATAAAATAACGAAAAACAATTTTTTTTAAATCAATTTTTGACGATTTTGGATATTTTTAAAAATCAAAAATTTTTTTTGAGCTGATTTTATGAGGGGGCTCTTGATGATAAAACATGATAAACTAACATATTTTCACAAGACACGAAAAAAAAATTCCTTTTTGGGCCACCCTAATAAAGTATTTGCAACTGATTTTTAAGGCATTAGACACTTTTTGATGTTAATTAAATGTTTTTCTCGAGATTATATTTTAGAAGATTTATAGTTTCACTTCTCGATGTATCAGATATCAGCTTAGACGATTTCTTTCGTGTCATATGCGTGTAAATGGGAAAACACGTTTATTATTTTCATATATCAGCTATTCCATTGTGTCTTGTATTGTATGGGCAGGATTGATTGACATCTATTTACAATTTTTTTGGTGATAATCGGCCAAAAATGAGTTTGATTAACGGTCTTTACTATGCATTTTTGTATAATTAAAATTACTTACCGTTTTATCTGGCTTTCATGAGTATAGGAGCACAGGAATCAGTATTCCTGTAGTAGGAAGGATTAAGGGATAAAAAGACAAAATAACAACTAGTGTGCTGTATACATACACATAGTTACATTACACTAAATCTAATTCAGATAGAATCAGTACATCAATGATTTTATACTTGATAACATTTTATAATTTGACAAAATATAGTTGTTGATAAATATAGCATAGAACATTTGTAATTATACCTCTTCTTAAAATCTTATTTACTATGTCATCTTACGGAGGAAGAAAGAATAATCCCGTGAATTATTTTTTGTCCCTCGATTACAATTGATAAAAATTAGACAAATACTTGCAATTCTTCAGTCTGGAATATAGTTGTTTTTTTTTATTATTTTATATATATTTTATTAAGCGTCACCATTTTAAACGTTATTCATCATTTTCATCGACACCATTGAGAGGCTGGATATCAAAGATACCGACAAAATGATACCGTAATAATAAATATAATTTTTACAAAAAAATATGATTCCTATAACGTAGGCGTCATGCTGGAAACGTGATCTTGATTAAAAAATAATTATACCCTCAACTGAACAACAGTTAATAAATCCTTTGAATATGCCAACACATATTAAATATTTCACGTTAACACATAGACAAAATATATATTTACATATAGAATATAATAATAGACGTATGCTGATTTTTCTTGGATATTAGAATATCAGTTATGTATCGATATTAGCACAAACCCATTTGTGGAATATATAGTTATTTTTACATGAATGTTGTGATCTTCCCCGATCCCAGAGGAAGAATCGTAGAACACTTCTTCGATCCAGGAAACCTGATGGATAACTTATAGATATGTAGAGAGATTAAAACATATAAGGTACTAGAAGGTACATGAATTGAAATATCTCGTCAAGTCAAAAAACATTGTGGGTACGCGATTATAAGCCACTCCCAATAGGGCTGGAGTATATTGAGCGTCGCTTATCATCCCGGCATCGTTTACTTCTCTTGGTTTTGGGCAGGAGTCGGTTGGGGGGGCAGAGCTTTGAGTATCGCGTGGACTTCTTCGGCCACAGCCGTGAGCACGAACTCGAACTGCTGCTTGGTGGCCACCATCCTTGGCCTCTGGTCTCTCAGGTGTTCCAGGGTAGCTGCGATGTCGATTTCCTTTGCTCCTTTGGCCATTCTACTGAGCACCATGTCGATGAGGCAGTACGTTCCGGTTCTACCGGCGCCGTCGCTGCAGTGGACCACTATGGGACAGGATCTGCCTCGGTATGATTTATTGACTTTTCTCCTGTGAAAAGAGAAATTGTACAATTTGGAAAAAAATCCTCACAATACGTTAGAAGTATTGCCGTTGCCAGAATTCCACGTCTTCCTTTAGACTCAAAAGAAAATGTGAAATTGGAAATTAGGCCCTCTGGCCGGCATTCATATGTGCTGTGTACCATGGCGTTCCTTGTGTTGAGTTCTACACACCGTTCTATCGACGTCCATATAAGGCATTGTTGTTTATTAACTTCGATATAATGTTTTCTGTGCTAATATATATTTTATTCTATTTAGATCTAAGATGCCCTCTAATTAAGTTCGTCAGCTTTCTCGAGAGCTTCGAGAGCAATAACAATGCACAGCGAGCAGTACACACAACAAATATAAATACCGGCCAGATGACTTGATATCCACTCAGAGTTTCTTGTAAAAAGTGCGACATATCTCTTGAAATATCAAGAACCCATTCGTCACTGCCACTCCAAAGATCCGTACTTACCTAAATTCTAACAGTGCCTTGGTAGACGCAGGTACTCCAGATTCTGGCCATGACAGGAAGTGGAATTGAGTCACAGTTCTCGTTTCGCCAGTCCGTACGTTCTTGAGATAGAAAGACCTGACCAGATAGTCGTCGCACCAGATATGCTCGCTAACCAAGTGAACCTCGTATATGTGGTACAGTTCTGATCCCTCCTCTGGCCAGTATCGATGACACATGGCCGCTCCTCCCTCTGTCAACCTGCAAACAAGACGCCTCAAACGTTAGACTGTGTCAACCTACTTTATATAGAAAGCATACAAACCTAGTCAACATTACAATAACCACGGCCCCCTGTTCCCAAATCAGTTGCCAAAAGTCTGGAGCGGTGTGCGGGAGAGGTCCTTGAGTCGCAATATAAGCTGGGTTTCTGGGATCGTGATCGGTGATACTAGAAGCGTTGATATAGTCACATCCGGATGCGTTGGACAATTCGTTCAGGACAACTCGTGCGTGATCGTATGGCACTATCTCTGGATAGCGGTTCTTGTCGACGTTCTCTTTCTTCAAGGCGATGGTGGTCTCGCAAGGTTCTGCTACGTACGCGCATAAAGCTACCCATTCTTGTTCTAGGCGGTCTTTGTTCTTTAAGTGGTCTTCCATGTAACTCAGAACCATATGACCTACAATAAAGCTTAGAATATAACTCCTTATCCACATTGTAGTATACTGTACCTGTTGAAATGTCCATATTATGCAAAGCTGGCTCCTCACTCCAAGAAGATGTGCTCGAGCGGCTGGATGGGCTTTGTTCCGATTCTCTAGACAAAGACGTGATTCTGCCATGAACTGTCTCACCAGGTGGTTGTCCTTTAGCCGCCATTCGCGACCTGCACAAGTCTTGGTAATCCTTGCTAGCTTCGGTATCTGGTCGATTTAACCCTTGCAGCTTCTCCTTCAACTTAATATGGCGTCTGATGAGGATTAGGAGAGCGGTCGCGATGATCATGGCCGCTAGGACTCCGCAGACCATAAATATGACTATGTAGAATTGGTTCTCGTTATTCAGTGCAGTGGTTAAAACGGTCTGCATTCTTGACTGAAAACGGAAACGTAAAAAATTGTAAAGTCAGAGGGAAAGATGGAGATTAAATCGCAAGCGAAGGAATGAGGAGTGGTTGATGAGGCAGCATTTATTACAGTGTAACTATTATTTGTCCCCCACTTACGGGCGAATGAAAAAGTCGTAGACACGCCATCTAGTGAATTTTAAATAAAGTCAATGTATGGGCGGGAGTAGTTAACAGTTTTGTTTTAGCACCATTTTTCTTTCCTCTCGAATAAATGCCCAAGCGTGTTTATTTTCTTTTACAAAACAATTTGCTAGATCTTCTTGATAGTGTGCTTCTTGTGATTCGACAAAATATACAGTTGATGGTGTGTCACCTCACTATGGTCCCTAAATATTAACGTTAAATATAAAACAACGGATTTACCGTTATGAATAACGTTTTGTAAATAACTGAAATGAAACAGTGATAAGTTGCGTTAGTAATGTTTACTTACTCTGTCCCCAATGCCAGCAGAATAGACTTCAACACCAGCAACTTCTTTCAGCTTCCCCTTTATAGCATCTAAAGTATATATATATATAAAAAATCAGATATAGCAACCACTCAAACTGATATGCAACTCACCGATTTTTTTAGCCACCTCACTTGCGTTCAACCCTCGACTGTTCTGTTTAACTCTAAACATTATCCACTTGGGACTGGCTCTAAAATAGAAAATTTGGAAACAATGCTAATTTAACTGACTTGTTCCTTACTCTCCCTCTACAAAAGCTGACGGTTCAATGTGCAGTAAGTTCGATATATTACTTATGATGCTCATTCCGTGGCTCCAGTCCCTGAAGTCGTTCTTGAATTCAACGTAGACGTAGTCCATTTCAGGGGCGTGCTTTGGGGGATCGTGTTCAGGGTCTGGATGAACCCCGCGAGGTTCTTTCTTCATCATCGAGGGAAGCAGAGTATTTTCGTCATCTATTTTGTGCATGAGTTTTTCCACTATAAAGACAGAAATTATTAGAATAACATTGTAAAATTATTGAAAGCTATATGTAAATTGCTATATTCGAAAACTTAAACTAAGTTTAATAAAAAAAATATTACATGTAAGACTATTAAGAGAAATTATTGGTTAAACTAGAAGTTACAGTTACCCTTTTGAGCAGATTCTGTTATTTGTGCGTCAAATGGAGGCCCGGGTTTCTTAACGTCCAGTCTTTCAGGTCTCTTGAACCCCAAATTGTACTTCTCCAAGAGTTTGTCAAGATTGTCTTTTAAAATGAGGCGGTTTTGATGTTCTGTGGTTGCATCTGCAATTAAATGCATTGTATTGCAACTGTTGTGTGTTCATTTGTCAAAATTAACACAGAAATTTGAAATATCACACCTTTGTATGAAATCGGAATTGGCTCCTAAATCCATTTCAACTTTTTGTGTTAACCTTGATCAAAGAATACCTGTGGAAGTGTAGAAGGGACATTGTGTATATCTACCTAAGAAATTCCTGTCTACAGTTGGACTCCAAACCACCCCGCCCTCGGTATAAACCCCAGGTCGTGGTCTAGTCGAGAACACCCTATCATTATTTTCCCTTTCCAGTTCCCTAAAAATTTCCCGTTCCGTCGGTACCTCGAAATTACGACTAGTCTTCCTTTCTCTAAAGATTTCCTCGTCCGGTGTTAGCGAATTGCCGCTCCCGTACTCAGTATTCTCATCATCCTGGCCTTCCTCTTCATCGATGTATACTCTAGATTCAGGAATGTCCTCCAAATCCTTGTAAGGCAAAATATCTCTGGACTCCCATCCAGCTCTAAAATTATCCGGGGTGTTGTAGTTCAAAGTAAACCTTTCCTGCGGCAAACTGTTCACGTATCCACTATCAGCTTCCAGCTGCTGCCTCAGCAAATCCTGGACGTCGTCCTCTCGAGCTGCCCTACGATCGAACTCGGCCAACAGTTCGCGCAGCTTCATGTAGTTTTCTGGGCTCAGGAATTTCTGGATTTCCCTGGGAGTCAGGTGCATGTCGTTGAGAAATTTGATTACCGGATACATTTCCGTCAGGTCTTCCAAAGTCAAGTAGTCATTTTGCTCTAAAAGCGTAGGTCTGTCGTTGATTATTCTGTTCGGTTGTGGGTAGTTTTGTTCGTATCGCTGCAGGAATTCTAACGAATCCGTTGCCCGGTTTGTAGGAAAATTCGCGGGGTCTTTGGGTTGGTCTTGGTATTGGGGTGAGGAGCGGTGGTGCATCTGGGGAATCCATTCCCTTTTCACGACGGAATAGGCGGCGTAAGGGTCCTCCATATCAACTGGAAGGTGAAAGAGATGTTACGTTTTTATTTGACGGGTAAATTATTCTCTGACAAGTTAATAGAAGGAACATTTTTGAAGTTTCATTTATTTAATAGACTGTTTTGGCTTATAGCAACATTTCAGCGTGCTTTTGAATGTTCGGTTTTCATTTTAATAGCTGCCTATTTATATCAAAATGTGGTACATTTTTTCCTGTCCTATATTGAGCCCTATCAAAAAAAGTTTCAGATAGTAATTGATTTATATCAATAAACCAGTGACATATTTGACGTCGTCTTGAGGTTTCAAGGTCAAACCAAGGTGCTACATGAAAATATTGGAACACAAGTGAAACACCCTATGTTTATGCCAATTCATACAGAACCAAATTTTACGTCCGAATATGGGGTTAGAACGTTGTTCCTGTATTTTTCTCTGAATAAATCGAAAAAATGCAATTGTAGATGAAATTGTTTCAAGAAAAATTTGTAGGATTTTGAATGACAAATTCGGTGGTACCTTTGGATTTGACCTTCACCACAAGTTGCAAGGTCAAACTAAGGTTAACTTCATGGAATACATAATTTTTATGTCAGCAACCGATATAATGCCAAATGTTATGTCGGAATCTGGGAACAAAAGATTTTTCTTGCGGGTCATTTGAAAGTCAAAATTTTAAGTAAAATTTTGAGTTTGACCTTCAATAATTCGATCTTGTCCAGTTATTCATGAGTTTGACCTCTAAATTATTTGCAAGGACATAATAGAAAGAACTACTCCAATATTCGGACGTTAAATGTAGCGCTCTTTCTTGGTTTGACCTTGACGCTTAAGGTCAAGATAAATCCAAGGTCACCAGCGTATTGGTTTCTTCATATCCTAAAACTTCTATCCGAATCTTTTTTCGAAACGACTCAGTTCTCAAAAGTTATCTACGGATTCGTGTCATTTTGAGATTGTTCATATACACGATATATGACCAACAGTTCACAATTTAGAATTTTTTAAATATTCGTCTTTTTTCGTATCCAATAATTGTGTGGACTATCATTATCATCATCATCATCATCATCTCATTAACTTCAAATATAAATATCTTTCTTATTATAAAACTTTTATTACCTATAGTGATTTTATTTAAAAATCGAAATGAATCGAAAACGCTCTGTATACTGTAAGTATTTTAAATAAAAAATATGACGAAAATGTAATACGTCAGTTTAACGGATTGATGTCGCTGTTATTAAATTGATATAATTCTATAGAATCAGCAAAGTAATTGTATAATAATTATTCATTATTGCCAGGACAATATCGCTTTCGCTTTGCATCTGACGGCCAAATATGGTGGGCGAACACATTAAGTGTAATTGAATTTTGAACAACCTACATACAAATCGATATCATTCATAATTTGGATTGTTATTCCAGCATTAATTGAAACATTTATGGAAAAAGCATGTATCCAATGAAATTAACCAAATGCGATTGGAAAGGTCATCCTTACCCTGAAATCAATTAAGCTCTGACAGGGGTGAGTAGGCGCTTTTGGTCTACAGTATCGATTAAATCAGGATCGCCCTTAATTTTGTTTGTTGGTCCATATTAGTATAATTGCCTCTGTTTCCAATTCCCGGAGTGGTAATTTAATATATTTACCTCGATCTCGAACGAAAATTTACATATCGCTTCAAATCATGTCTGTATAATTAAAGAATAATTTTAAGTATTACTTGAATGGGTGCATTTTTCTTCCGAAAAAAGAAACTAATACGTTTCATGATGTAACACGGTTTTTAGGTTCAGTTTTTATCTATTTTGTTGCCTGTTTTGAAACATACGTATTTTTTCCGTCAATGGACATTATGTTCTAGTCAAAAAAATGAGCAGTAAATTTATAAATAAATCAAACCACCATTTTTTGCATTGAAATTGTAATGTGCAATTCATTTCACATAGAGTTCCAATAATATATTAAACCTGCGCGCGCACTTGAAGCTTTTTATTATTGCAAGTGTTTACATCTACATTTATTTATCGTGTACAAGAGGAGAGACGACTGAGGCTACGCTGTTTGTCTTCTCTAAAACCCGTCGTGTCGCTGCTTCCAGCTGGGGCGTGTCAGTGCGTGTCATAATCGTACAAATGGGAAAGGCGTATAGTTATTGCAATAAGTGTTGAATTAGCTAGCTCCAAGTACACGAAATATTGAAACATTTTGGTATTCACTGAGAAAAGTTTAAACTGATATAACCAAGAAATTGTATTGTCAATTTTTTTAACTTCAACTCAAGTAACACATATACTTAGTTTATTTATGCTCACGGTCTATCGCATTGGGGGCCAGAATCTTCTCCCTAATGGTCTCCTGGGCCTTGTTGTTAACAGGTGGGTAATAAACTTCATCGGCATAGGCGGCATGGGGGTCGTCCACGCTGGGGGTGTACTTTATGATTGCCACCTCCTGGGGATCCAACTGGACCTGACCCTCCAGAGCTTTGAGGGCGCCTTCCAAGTCGTTATCAACTAGGTGGGAGCAGGCGTCCGGTTCGAAGGTCATGCTTGGGAAAGAAGGTCAGATATAATGCGTTTTAGGACAGAGAAAATGTTTTGTCGATCTTTTTCTCAAATTATAGTTTAACTCGTGATAATTTTTCAGTTTTCAGTATATACACAAGTGCTTGAAGGGATAAGCCTTCTCCGGAAATTTGAAACACCCTGTAGGGTTCACTCCATTATCTCTGTTATTAATTGAGATACACAGTTAAGTAACTTGACGCGCATAGGTTTATTGTATGCTAAAAACTTCAATTTCAATAAAAAATCCTTATTTCATAATTTAAGTTTCACCCTGTATAACACGGATTCGTACCTCAAAACATCGCAGACGAAACAATTTTGCCGAGTCGAGAAAAACTCCAGACATCGATAAATACTTCGCAGGGCGTTTTGTTCGAAGCGAGGAAAGAAATCTGAAAAATGATTTCCTCGGTTTGCAGTAATGTAAAAAGTTCTGGAACTTGGCACATGAGCCACGATCAATTCTTCCTCCGCGATACTGCGTGAGTAAATCATAGTGACATGAACGTAGATTGATGTCGACCCTTTTACGAGCCGAGGCGAAATGTAGGATCGCTGAAATGTCATAGTTCATTTCAGTTAATTCCTTAGGAAGGATTCTGGTTTGGTTACAGTGTAGCAGCGTTTATTTTTAACTTTAGTGTGGACCCTTTACGAGTAAATAATTTAAACAGTTTTCAAAGCAATGAATCGACAACAAGTCATGAAAATTTGAATATAAAAGTAACTTTGTATTTGAAACATATTTTATGGGAAACATTTTCCAATAAGTTTAATATGTTACGTACTTTTACTCTTACATTTAATCAGAAAATTGTCGGCCATTTTCAAAATAAACCGACTAGTCTACTGATACTGCAAGTCTTGTAAAAACTTTTCAATATTCACAATTTTTTTAAGAAAATGTTACTCCACGACCATCGCTGACATTACTTTATTCTTATCGGCCAATATTTTTTGTTATGGTGAGGTCATAGCTTGATCGAGACTACATACTATGGTATAGTCTTTCTGATCTCAATTGAAGGCCACAGAGCTAGGCAATATGTACCAGATGGTCTTTAAACAACAGTCAAAACATTTTTTCGTTATCTCCCTTGTGAAGAGACCATTTAAATAGATTGCAGATTATATTTGAGGGTAAGCGTTATTAAAAAAAGAGTACTTACTCGTGCTTGAACGCATAGAGCAGAGCCTGGAGCCGGCATTGTGTGTAGCCGTGGCTCCATCGGTATCCTAGGGCAAAAAGTCTCCGAAGTTCAGCGCTGAGCTCGTGCAGTCCTTCCCTTTCCAGATTGTATCTGGAATAGTAGACAGAGGAGTGAGGAAAATCGTCCTAGGAAGGCAGGCACGTATCATGTAAAATATTATTTAATATCTCAATATACCGCGCGTAAGAATTCAGCTCTGTTGTGAAGTGTTTTATTGCGATTCTCGAGATGCCACGTGAGGGCCATGAAATTTTACTGGGTGTTTACAAAATTTAAGATTTATGGTTAACAAGAGGTAGGTACGGATGAAAAAAAGGTGTTTGTTAAAAATGTTGCAGAAATTGAGAAGAAATTGTTAATGAAAATAAAATAATAATATTTACTTTATTCTTTTTTTTTCGCTCATTTACTAATTTGTAGATAATATCGAAATATCCTAATTTGAAACAATTTATTGCGGACTCAGCTGCGCTACGCACCCGCTCAGACATTTTAATGCAATTTATCGTCTGCCTAAATGAGATAGCAAACATTTATGACGCGTTAGAGGGGTAGTCATTAAAATCAGAATGGTCGTACTAATTTCGTAAGACTTAGACATTAAACCGCTGGAGATAATTAGTTTTTCACGTCTGATAAATAGTATTCCAGGACTCTAATATGATTGTCGTTAATTTTTATCTTAAGAAGAGTATCTAATAGTTAGATAATTAAAAATTGTAAAACTAATCAGGTCAAAATAGAAGAATAATGTACAGGATGTTCCTTAAAGTGCTTGTGTAACCCAATTAAACAAAATTATTGCGATAGAGTGGAGCACAATTCAGGAATACAAATTTGAGGAATCGCTTTGATGAAATATGTCAATCTCCAAGTAATGTGACTGACACTTCATACATAGGTGCCATGCTCAAAGGGTCTAGGCTCTTAGTCCGATATATTTTACCGTAAAAATAAACTTTTTTGGATGGTTTTTGATCAAATTAACTAAAAATGTAGGTTTTTGGGTCAACGTTTTATCAACTGATGAGACAGGCTGTATAATGATATCTTGAACACGACTTCAACCAAATGTTCCTACCAATTTTAAAATATTGGAAAAGAAACTGAAGTAATCAAGAACTAAGTTATTTTAAGAATATTTTAATGAAATATAAGGATGTATTTGTCCCATCTGACGAAGAACTAGTATAGTCCAGCACGAAATCAGTATTGGTGATCATGCTCCTACAAAACAAGAGGAAGTGGAAAACCTTCTGAAGAACATGGAACATCAAGGTGCAATTGAACCTTCGAATAACCCATAGTGTTAGTACCAAGAAAGAGTTCTACCAGAGAAGAATTGATAGTACTGAGGCCACCTTGGCAAATGCAAAATGTTTCTCTATGTTGGATCTCAAAAGTGGTTACTGGCAAGTGGAAGTTGATCCAAATGACAAAAAAGACGTGTTTTCTCGACTGGGACAGGTTTGTGGCACATCAACGTCATGCCGTTTGACCTTTTCAATACTTCAGCCACTTTCGAGATTCTCAAGGAGATTGTAGCTCTGAAATTAAATCCCAACAAGTGCAACCTCTTTTAAAGGAAAGTCGCCCATTTGGGTCGTGTAAAATCATCAAATAATGTCAAGACTGATCCACAAAAAACTAAAGCTGTTCAAAACTGTCCTATTCCAAAGGATAAGCATCAGTTAATGAGCTTCCTAGGTATTTGCTCCTATTATAGGAGATTTGTTTGAGGATCTTACCAGACCATTACACCTCACTCACTGAAAATGATCAACTCTATCTGCAAAATATCGCCAATAATAGCTTCATTTTCAAAACCAGAGAGAACTACTATGACAAGTACAAGTTATCAAACCCATGACACATTTCCTTAAGCACCTTTATGGACAATACTTCACCTTGAGAACAGATCATGCTTCCTTGAAATTGTTATTCCAGTTTAAGAACCCAGGATATCAAATAGCTTGTTGGTTGCAAATTTTTCAAGAGTAAGACTTCAACATTGAACATAGAACAGCACGACTTTATAGAAAGGCAGATGCAGTATCCAGAAGCCCGTGTCCCGAAGGATGTTCACATTGCAACCACGCTGGGATATTAAAATTTGGTCCAAAAGAACAGCAGTTGTCACGGATGGACAATGGGAAACTAGAAAACTTAATTAATACCAACGAAATATGTCAGTCTCGAATCGAAACATAATTAAGCAAATAAATAAATAAATGTATAAAATCAGCGGGAAAATTAATTATTAAACAAGAACAGCCTTAGATTCAAAGCCTTCCCTTATTATATTTAGGATTCGCGTTTTACGGATTTAGGCTATTCGTTTTCCGAACTAATTTATTTTACGATCTTTTCTCCGAGGATAAAAGAAGAGAAATGGGCCAGTCTCCTCCCACATATTATAAATCCCATTCATCAATCTACGCGGGATTTTAGTCGTCAGCCATGATTGTTTATTTACCCCTGTCTTTTATAATTTTCCTTGCCAAAGGACCCCTCGAGGATAACGTAATTTTTGCTCAAAGAAAACATATTGAAATTGCAAACGAAGTCCCGAAATAAAACTTAAGGCGATAATGTAATTTCTTTCTTGGAAATTGCGCTCTATAGAGCAACCGCAGAAAATTCGAAATCTTTCTTAGAGGAGGCCTGGGCTTGTGAAATGATAACCCTCCGGCAAGCTGACGAAATTAATTTTATCACATAATTGCCAGTTATATTCGCCATTTCGCATTTTAATTGTATCCTTCATTTTGCGGTATGTTTCATTGAAAGGCTCGAAGTTTCTATGATTAACAGCTCGCAATTTAATTTCGTATTTTCCTTCTAATTCGAGCAACATGTATTTCGTTCCTTTTGTTCGCAGAAATTATTACGTTAATCTAACTTTCATGACGTCTGCTAATTTAAAAATTAAATGCTTGTAAAAACAGCGCGATATTTTCTCGGGCGCCACCGAGTTTAGCATGAAAATATAAAGTGTTCCAATATTCCTCGTACACGAACCCACAGCCTTGGTGACATTAAATATTATTATTTTATTAATTTTATTAAAATTTAGTACACTAATATTTCTATATAAATGTCACATTATAACATATTAAACGAAATAATTTGAATCGAAAATGCGTTAAAAAAATTAATGAACTCAATATTATTACAATTAATTATAAAATTTTAACAAACCCTTCATCTTTAAGGCAAAAAAAAGTAGAAGCTGTAGCATGACCCTTCGCAAAATTAGGTGCAGATTATTTTAAGGTACTTATTTTAATAGCCGGAAACTGTGAAGAGCTATAGTCTTTCCGATCTCAATTCCAGACTAAAGAGCTAGGCACCAGGTTCTGTCGATACGCAGCAACTCGGCATTGAAATATTTGAAAAACTTGTTCCCATATTTATTTAACCGTACCCATATAAATGTCTGGTCGAACTAAATGTGGAACACAGCCGCACTGGGCAAACGGCCATAAATTTCAGTTGTTGACAAATTGCTTAGCAATGCCGAGCAGCAATATATTTTAATGAAATTGTAAATGTTTTTTGATAGGTCATAATCAAAATTTACCATCAATATCATAAAATTGTTTGAGGACATAAATAATTAAAATACGTTGCTGGCCAAATGCCAATTTTGGCCAATATAATACAAATTTTCTACACATCGTATACAATTATTATTATATTTTACCTTTAGCAAAAAACTTTTTTAGGGACGCCTATAAAACTCATAAAATTTTATTGCTAGGCGTTTTTATGCATGTTCAACTGACTTCGGAAAGACTATATCACAGTTGTACAAGGAATGTTGGGACACCTTGACACCAGGCGATATTTAACAAAATCCTTGGAAAAAAATAAATGAAGGAAACACAAACCTGTAGAGATCATCTTCATCGACGTCGCCAATTGTTCGGAGGCAACGTCCAAAAGCGAAATCTGCAAGGAAAAATATATTTTATTGATACGTAATGTAATGTAATTCTGCATATGGGTTTATCTGTTATATTTTGAATCAAAATATAATAGATGACCCTATATCTAAGACTATAATGCAATCAAAGCTAATGAAGTGTATATTACGTGTAAGACTATTGAGAAAATAGAATAAAAATTAATGTAATTTTACAAATCTCGTCCATTTTGGTTTCCTAGGGAGTGATTCGTATTTTATTCTAAAAAAAAATCAATCCTATAAATATGTGACCCAAACGACCTAAATTCTGAGTTACAGTGTTACATTTTAGAAAAAAAAATATTTTTGTCTATAAAACAGGAACCGGAAGAGATGTTTTATTAAAATTTAGTACGCTATAGTAGTTGCATTTCTGCGTCATAGGCATAGGTAAGGGTGTATAACAATGTATATATTGAGGAAAAAATAGTAGTAAACTTATTTTTTCAAGTTTCGAAAGCAAATTCATAAAGTTCCATTTTCGAGCAAATTACAGAAGATGTAACAACAAATAAATAGTGAATTTAAAATTCTTATACTTATAATTAATGAAGAAGGTTCGTTAGAACAATATATTGTGTAACAGTGTTTTGGATATCGAAATATTTGCTGTCCATTTCCTCTTATATTAATTTGACGCGAACTAACATCTTTCTGATTTGTAAGGCACGCCTTTGCGGCACTTTTATGTCGCTTTTTCGTTGTGTTTTAAGTTTTGTGAGAAATGATCTGATTTACGCATCTGGTGCGGAAAAGCGTATTTTGGGAAAGTAGTTTTCTGAGAACTACCACAGTCTACGAAATTGCAATAAATCTTTTCCAGTTCTTGGAGTATCCTGTAACTCGAAAATTACTTCGCTAAGGATTTATGTTGATAGGAACTTTTCTTTTCTTACAGTTAACTGCAAAAGCACCCTTTTTATTTCCCAGGACATACTACAGAGTACCCAGTATATAGTTTACTGACCTTTTTCTAAAAAATTGGTAAATTTAAATGAATAAAACCTTAAATATTAAATGAAATATATATTAAAACTGAAATACGAGTAGTAGATTGACAGCTTAATAATAATAATAATTGATACATTCCTGTAAGAAATGAAACAAGCCATGCTAGAACTTAACTAATTAGAAGTATTTACTTTGTATCATGGTTGTTTTGTAGTTGGTTTTATTCACTTAAATTATTCAAACATCTGTTAAATGTAGATACCCTTTTTTATTTGGACTATCGTCATTCCATTGTAGTTGGTTCGATTTGAACGTGTTTCGAATTTATTTTATGAGATCCACAGGATTCCATGAATATGTATTTCCCTCTTCAATTAGTTTACGTAAACAAAATAGTTGAAACTCATGTTTCAGTAAGCTGGATACTAGCGGTCGATATAGTGAACTGGTTGTAGAATCGTTAACATCATTCCCCATGAAACTAGTTCAATCTTTTATTGTGGACTAGTTTTAAAAGTTTTCCGATAACCGACATTATTTTAATTTATAAATGTCGTGTAGAGAATCGTAACTTACCGTCATAGCACCACTCTTCTTCCAAGCAAAGTCTTTCGCTGAACAAACACCCTGAAAAAGTATTATTTATTAGTATACTACTGTTATACGCATAATTTATATATGGTCAAGGAAAGGTAGATAAGTATTCGCGCATAACCTTTCGTAAACATCATTTTCATCAACAGAACTACTCGGTGACATGGAGGACCGTCCTAGTATTCGTTAGACGTAAGTGTACGCGAGATACTAGCTAAGATCAACAAACAATGGGACAGTTCGAATTACGACAATGTTATATTTAGTTTTCATTACGCGTTTGCTTCTAAGCTTCCAGGGTATAAAAGGGCTCGAGCTTCCTACGCAAAAGACTGACAAAGGGTAATTTAATAAAGGCCACCTTTACGGTTATAGTGCCTAGATAAAGTAAAGTTTTATTTTTCAATTTTCAGAATTACGAATACAGGACGACCGATGCCTGTAAAAAGTAAAGCTTTGGACGAGGAAACTTTTTAATGAGCGCAACAAAATATTCATGTTTTATTTGTGCTTGTTTAAAATTTCCAGCGAAATATAAGAAGAGACGTAAGGGGCTTGTAACGAAATGCTTTTAATTATATTTGCAAAGTAAACAATTTCGATTGCAAGTATAATAATGCATTTGCACAGTAATTTAATGAGTTTGTGCACAGTAACAATAAATTAACTATTTGTAACGAGCGTTCAAATAAAAACGTGGTCAAGTTGGTTCTGAAAATTTGGACGTAGGGCGTAGCGTATATCAAATAAACTTAAACGTCATCTGTCAAAGCGCTATATCGCCGCTATCAATTTGAATATTTTCGTTTTAAAAAGCGAGTTCTCAAGAACAAAAAGTGTCCTACTTTAGAAATGGACGCGAGATTGATGGAATATGGAAGTATTCTATTGAGGAATGTTTCATAGAATTTCAAAATCAATTTCCCGGCGTTGTTGAGTAAAAAATTTTTCAAAGTGCAGTTCAGCGTTGTGTTGATGTTTTTCGTGAAACGGGCAGTGTAACAAATAAAGAAGGAAGCGGCCGACCTAAAAAGCGGACTGAAGAATTAAAAGAAAATGTCCAACAAATAATGGAAAATGCGCCAAGAACTTCTGTACGTGTTTTATCACAAATGGTGGGAGTATCAGTCGGTACCTGCCACACAGTGTTAAAAAAAGATTTGCGTTTGTTCTCCTATCGTTTAACTTTTTTTTCGCAATATTAAAGGGACAACCTGTATATTATTTAAGTAAGCTAAACATAATCTGAATTTTATCATTTGCAAAAAACCAATAAATCTAACTAAACTTTGCTGAAAGAATATTATTTTTTAGTGTGCGCTTAACATTTTGTACTTAACAATATTGATTTTAAACATATGAATGAACGTATACAATTAGGGGATGCAATATCCGATAATCTTGAGCTACGTACATTTTTTTCATTTAAATGAATGTTTCATTAATGGAAGATTCTGAAGACGGTCGAGTACAATTAGTCTTTTATTAATATTATGTACCTATTTAGTGAAATTCATTCGCAAAAAACTTAACTGCTGGGTTATTAATCTAGTCGTCAAACTGTTTTATTGTGATAAAAACTTTAAAGGGAATACACTAGTTAGTCAAGGTAGATTTACGACCAATTTTGTAAAGTCCTTGCTTCAAAGAGTCGTAAAGTTTTTACATAAAGAGCAATATAGCCAAGTTTTTGCTAAATTATCTCTGAGTCTGGTGGTGGTAAGTGATAAAAAGCCAATGAAAGCTTAAATGTGTCCTTTGATAAATTGACTGTCTTCTTGGCATAATGAATTATAGAGGAAAAAACTTAATGAGGGAAAAATTTATTTTTCACTTTTTTGAGACAAACAGCGATGAAATATGACTTCTCTTTGTACGTTAGCCATAGTGTGAATAAAAATAAATAATGATGTTTATAAAAATGTTTTAAATAGGGAAACTTTAATTATTCGTACATTTTCTATTGCAGTTTGAAAAGAAATAGAATTCAAAGATATAAATCACTTGGTCGTGGGTCCTCTATTAGGGAAAAACTGTTATGTTCTAACAAGTTAAAAAAAAAGAGATACTTTAAGCAAAGGCAATTTACTGGTAAAATCTGAAGTTCGCAAAAAAACAACAGGCTTTAATTGGATACGAAAGACTCAGACAAAAATACCTTTTTATGTCGTTATACCCACTTTTACATCAGAATCCAAATTGATATAACTGTAATTAATTGGTATTGCCAATCAGTTTTGCATTATTTTACTTGAATTTTTCCTGGGTTTATTTTACTATAAAATTCGTTAAACCAAATATTAATTTAAAAGAAATAAAAGTTTGAGAAATGCAGTTAAATCTTTACGGAAATTTGAAGCGTATTCGTTGGATAAGATGAAACTATGCGCTCTTGTACACGTAGCTTTATATCCCCTCATAATCCGAAAATTGAGTTGACTGGGTCAACTCAATTTACGCCCAAGCGTATAGAACCCTACATGTGTAGAATATTAAAAAGGAACACCTCGATAAAGTCTGCTATATTGGGTTCCGAAACGGAAAAGCGTGTTATGCTTTTTACAAGCATTTTGTTAGGTATATGAAATATGAAGTTGGCCTAACCTAAATTGACATCACGTTATCTGAAGTGTGTTTTTCGAGATGCTAAAATTTACAGCATTCTTGAAGTGCCTTAGGTATGAACTTTACAAAGAAATTATGTGTGGAACACGTACAAAATAATTGGCTATTAAATTTTATTCGACATTTATTTTTAGTTTAGTAAAATAAAAATAAAAACTGATTCATACAATTTTACGTTTTAGGATTAATAAAAAGGGTCTCGTATTTTTATGTCGAGTGCAAGAATTAGGAACATAGCCCTTTATCGTTGAATTGAATGCGATTTTCGCTGAAACGAAAAGAGATAATGGGTTCTCCTTTCAGCTGTACAATACCAATTATCTTTTTTTTTTAGTAACGGGTGACGTTAAAGTTCCGATAAAGCCAATATTCTGCATTGTAGTCTAATAAAATTATAATACTAAAATGATACTCTGTTTATTATATTTGCCTATGAATTATTAATATTAAGGTGATAACAGGGTGATTCACAAACGGTGACCAAAAATGAAACCTCGCATTCTTTGGTGAATTTTAAGGGGGTCTTTCGTATAAAGTCTTTATCTGGGAAAGATACAGGATGTTAAATTTTTTAAATACTAATTTAAAAACTAGTAAGTGAAATAATTTGCAATTGGGCACATGTATTTATGTAAGCATTGACCAAAATCCGAGGACGTTTCCTAAAATTTGGATGCTCCAGTGGAGTAGGTACAGGGTATTTTCATGTTTCAATTTTCTACAAATTACTACTCGCTTACGTTTTTCGAAAAAAGCCTGATTTTCGAGTTTAACAAAGTAAAAAGAATTGGCTTCGTCTTTCAGCATCACCGGGATGAAGTGCAAGTACAAAATTGCATTTAAATGGATGCTGACCATTAGTTTTCAAAATCTTTTGAATGGAGGTTTTTGAAATGCCTAAATCCTGTTCAGCAGCACGAACTGATGATTCAGGGCAAGCATGAAAATATGCCAAAATATTAACGATGTTATCTTTATCTAAAATTATCGGCTTGGCAAAATTCTATGTGCATTCGACCATGTTCTAGTTGATTTCTTTTAATTTTTCGTAAAATGTGTTTACTCATTGTGGTAAATGTGGATGTATCTCATTAAATACCCTGAAAGTCCTATTTATTGTCTTGTCACACTCTCTATGATTAAATAATAAATTTAGAATGTCGGCATTTGAATAAATATTAACGTTTTTTATTCTGTAACAATAAATAATACTCAAATAAACATTCACTGCATGTGTTAAATTGACAACAATAAACTGGTGATAAGTTAAGCTGGTTTAAAGTTGACTAAATTCGGCAATAAACCCCCCTACCACCCTGTAAGTCATTTTGAAGTAATGGCAGGGAAGCTTAGAGTTTTAGTTATGCCCTCTATGAATTTTATCACTTCAACTTTATTATTTAAAATACACATCTTTTTTAATTAGGCAGTGCTTTTTTAATGTCTTTTGAAAAAAATTAAATATATCAAAAAACGGCTAACTTTAAGAATAGGAAACCTTTATGAAAGTTCACCTAAAAATTGACGTAGAATCCAAAATTGCAATAACATACACGGTGTTCCATTTAAAATAACGAAGATGACGTCAACTTCCGAAAACACTATTGCCCAAATTTTCAAAATTAAAATCGAAGTAGTCTCTGAAATATGTTTAATGTCTCGTCATCGTGGGATATCCTATATAGGGGTCGCTACTTTTAACCTCTAGAGACGCATGTCATAAGTTTGTTCATATTCATGCACCAATTTTTTTCATATCGTCAATACCCCATTCATGTCAATTGGGTGCTACGAGATGCATTGTTATCAAATCACATCTTTCTTGATCCGTATACAGGATTTTTCACAATATCACACAAGATTTAACAAAGAAGTCGCACAAATACACCTTGCAATGTTGGAAGTTTGTTTCTTTACTCGCCTAGAGCCCTGTTGTCATATCTCATCAGGTGTATTTATATTATGTTGTTTTCTGCAACCAGTCAACATTGGATATCATTAACAGTTAGATTCACAAATTAAACACAGTACTTTAAAGAAAATTGTATTAAAAATGCTTTTTATTCACAACTTGAAATGATTTTAATAAATATTTCGCCTATGACTATGTTTTTTTATTCTATACATTTTTTAAACAACAAATTGTTTTAAAAAAAGTGACACACATTTAAAGCCACACCCTGTACTATGACGAATTACAAATATACCCATCTAATTCTAACGGAGCTTTAACAGAAAAGCTCAGCTTACCTAAATCTGATGTGTAATTAGAACCGTGTTTAAATTGTAGGGCTTAAATTTCGATGATAAATAATAGGCTACAAAACACCTCCCGTCTGGGGAATCTACAATTTCCCCTTTATTTTACTCGGTTATCAGTGGGGGCCGTGTAGGAAAATGTTCTTTTTACGTGACTCTACTTATTGGAGCTTAAAATACTACGTTTTAAATTCATAACGTGGGAACTCAGCTCGAAATAATCCGCGTGACTTTAATAATGCAGCATACAATGAATGCTGCAAAAATATTCATTTGCATGCCTTTAGTAATGAAAAAGCGTCATTGGATTAATACAGCCAGCGCGTGTTCTAAATTATTGCGATTATTCTTGTAGATTTCATTTTTCTGTGCGTGAGATAAATAACAAGCTACAGATATTTGTAAAGCACAGAAGATTTGGAAATTTTGAGATCATTCTTTAATAACTTTGCAATATTGATATCTGTCACATCTGTCATCACTTCATTAAGAAGTGTTATTTATTGAAACATTTTGTGCAGTGTATAATCTCAAAATTATTTATTACAGCATTTAGTAACGCTACTGTGTAATTGTGTGTTTTCGTCGTCAAGTTTCTGTGACATATTTTGAAAGAACAGGGACACAAATTGCCAAAAACATTTAATCAAGCTCGTGGACCTTTTGAAAGGTAAACAAACATTTTAAAATTTTTTGACCACTGGATTTCCTTCTAATTGCTTAAAAGTAGTCAACGATATAAATATGTTTGAGTTACAGATTCTGAAACTTAAAACTTCAAGCCTCAATTTACTTTTTGTTTTATTGCTCCTCGATTATTTTTCGCCAAGCTAGAGAATTTTGAAAATCCTCAAATTTTTTTTTTACTCTTTAATTTTTGTAACTAGTTTATGACCTCTAATTAAAATTACACCTTGTAGAATACTACTTACTAAAAGATGTTAAAACATAAGTTCATTGACGTAGGAAAAACTGGAATAAATTTGAGGAAGACTGTCTTAGTTGAAAGCATAGATAAATTGAAGACTTACCTACGTTACTCTCTGCAGAATATCCGGGAGGGCCAACAGTAGCCGCCAAAAGCAGTATAGCGATTCTCAGCGATGCGCCGGGCCACGGCATGGCCTGAAACAGAAGAATTATACACCGATAGCTTTGATGTGCCAAACAGAGCACACTAAGATACAATACATAATGTAGGTCTCACAGCTCACAGGTCGTTGCTTAGTGACGTCACTACTAGTGGTCTCTCTGATCGTAAATGACAGAAGCCTTCGCGCGTTAGTGTTAGCTTAGTTTAATAGTTTCGGCAGCTATTACAGGATTAATTATATTGTTAATCGCGATATTAAATAATTTTACAAATAATTGTTGGCTTCGACATGTGTTTGTTGTAATTTTTCACGTTATTTCTCTGAAGTTAAAGTTTGGTGCAGGTTATAGTGCTTGGCAGTTTTGACAGGTTGACATTATTCCACTAAATAACAGATTTCTCGTTTGAATTGCTTTAAAGAATATATTATACCAACTACTACTATTCACAATAAGTGTATTCTGCAAAAAGATTGTGGATTATTTAAGGTTTTCATTTTAAAAATTGAGCTTCATCCTCATCTTAAACCTACAGCAAGTAAATTAGATACCTTGCTTACTTTTTTAAATATTATAAAATAGTGAGTGGTTGCTTATAATTACAAAAAAGGGGTGATTAAAATATTTCGGAAGAGCTATTTTCCTTTTCTACTAGTTTCGGCTGTAATGTCTTCATCAGGGAAAAAGAAAAATGACAATCACTGGAAAAAATTGACTGTATAAAACTACTGATGGATGATATTGACAATTTTTGTGTAAAAATGAAAATATCAGTAAAGTTTCTTTCAAATCATCGTGACAGATGTCCTTAACTTTTCATTTTTAAACAAAAATTGCCATTTATTAGTATTTTCACGAGACCGATTTGTTTTCTAAAGGTTGTCATTATTGTTTTTCCATTATGTTGGCATCGTGGCCGAAACTAGTAGGGAAGGAAAATAAGTGTTTATAATTAATTAAAAAGGAAAATATTTATTTTAAATGAAATTAGAGTAGGTATTGGCAACCAAAACCACAACGCCCTGTGTCGCTCTTTATCATTCAATTATGAGGAAAATAAATTATAGATTGAGTGAAAGGTAAAACTAATTTCCATGAAAAAAATTGCATTCTTATATAGTTGATTCACTTTTCAAAAATCGTAATTCAGTGTTTCATTTTAAATTCTTGTAAACATATAGCATCACAATTTTCTTTTGTTTTACAAACTTACTATTTAATATTAGGTGGAATGCATTAGTATTAAGAATTTGTAATAGTCGAAATTGTAAACATTGCTTAAAATTGATAATAATCAGATTTTTTTAAAACTTATTGGGAACCTCTGGAATCAACCCCGTCTTACATACTACATAAAAAGGGACAAATAGTTGTGACCGTAAATTCGTGATGACCGCTTTTTGCACCTTTTTTGTAGTGAAAAAATTACTAATTCAGTTTTAGGCAAAAATCAGATCTACTTTAGTTTTTATGACGAAAAACTGTGTTTTATTGCGGAAATTCAGCGGTACCAAAAAATGTTCATCGTATCATTGTGGTAAGTCATTAAGGACATAAGAAAATTGTTTGTAAACAATTTATAAATGTTATTGATCTGTGACCGAATGCAGGTAAATAATAACTGATTGCAGGCATGTTAACTACATTGAAATAAAATTCTTTTAAGGCTCAAAAAAATCGTGAATGGGTGTTAGATATTATTAAGGGGAAACAAATCAATTTCCGCAGAATAGCTGTTCAGGATAGTTTTCACCTCGTTTTCCAGACATTTTTCAACTGGAAATTATCCAGCTTCCTTCCTACCGCGCTGTGCATATCGCGTAGATATAAATCAGCATATTGTCAGCTGGAGAACCTCACGGAAGGCAATATTGGAATAATTTTAAACCCGTATCCAATGCATGTATCGCGAAAAATATCTGTGGACACACTAGATATATATTATAAATTTTTTTCAATGAAATTTTAACAACGGTACTTGTGAATGCTTAAATTTATATGAATGCAAGATATTTGAGAAGTCACTACGGCGACCTGAATAAATTAAAAGGAATCGGGTGTAGTGAAATATTATTTTTTTTTAAATAGAATGTATGAAAAATTATGCAGTGCAGATTTTATAGGTTATAATTAAATAACGGAAATTGTTGACAAGCTCACAAATTAATTGCAAGATTTGCTTTGTAGGTACATTAATTTCGTGGTTTAAGGGCGGTTAAAAAAAATTAAAAACATTTTTTTAAGTTTAACGCCCCTGTATCTTTTTAACAAAGCGTCCTAGATAAAAACTTACTATACGAAAGACGCCTTAAAACTCACCAAAGAATACGAGGTTTCATTTTTGATCACCGTTTGTGAATCACCCTGTATATTTGAATATTGTATAATTATCAAAATATCAAATTTAGTAAAAAGGGCAAATATTGGATTGTTAATAAAACAATTCACGTCTGTTTATTTTCAGTGCTTTTGCCGATTTTTTTTTCTCTAAATTTGTTTGATTTATTTTAATTAAAATACGGGTAACAAGACACCAGAGCTAACAATAGAATATAATTGTTTTTCAAAAAAAAAAAAATGTTCTCTCAATCTCCGATTTAATTATTTCTTTTTTTGTTTCTCATTGTACTTTATATTTTTACTTCATCCATACTTTTACCTTTTTGAAAGGTTAAAATGCGACATAATAATCTCAAAGTTTAATATTTCGATACAGTATACGTTAAATTTAATGTACAACTTTCCTAAAATAATTATTAGGCAATATCGCACTGAAAACAAGATGTAACCAAATTTAAAGACAAGACCTGCGAGTAATACTCCGTCAAATGTAGTAATACTGCGGCAGAATCGCTTAGAATGGAATACCCCTCGGCAAACACTACTTGTGAGATGTCTTTAAAAAGCAATTTGGGGGCAGAAATATAATGAAGGCCTGGTCGTGAAATGCCGGGATTCTAAGGAAATTCTTTGCGAATGGTATAAAAGGGGTAAGTCGAAAATCGATACGGCTAAGGACTTGTTGAACTTCGACGTTGTGAGCCTAAAATAATGTGGTCGAGGACTGAAAGGAGCGTTTCCGTACTGAAAGTTATAGCGACAAAGGTGGGTCTAGCTATGGGAACAACTCTACTTTGTACATAATGTTATTGTCTTTTAATATGGTAGTATGATAATTTAGGAAATTTATTTGTACAGTCTTAATGAAAATCGTTCTTTTTAGTGGTACTTACTTTAATCTCACAATTTTTTTAATTTTCATGCTAGAATTCAGCACTTACTCTGGTAGAATTAAGATTTTACAATAGAATGACATATGAATAAAATTTAAGAATATTTAGCGTCATTTTTCAGTTTTTGATAATAAAGTTTTTCGAATTGAAGAACCGATATTTGTTAACCGTCATTTTGAACCCTCCCCCAGAGTTCTTCATTTATAGTGTCAAACGCAAGATATTTAAGTGAAATTAACGTACCAATTGCCCATATTAAAAAAAATCGGAGGATCAGATGTTACATCGGCAGATATATTATTTTTGCAATTCGAAATCAAATTCTGTGAATTATTCTCGAATTATTTATCGATTTGATTTTGTTTTTGCCAAATACCAAATGCCAAAATGCCAAAAATTTTAGTATTTAACAAAGTTCTGACTTGTCGTCCACCAAGTAATAAACGCGAAGGAGTAACGGCAACAGCGCAATAGAGTATCAATGAGGTTAGGTAGAGGGAAATTTAAATAAACGTTTCGATACATAAATCAGTCATTAGAAATCGATTAGATACATTCAACTTGTGTTTATTTGCGTAATATTCAATTTGGAATAATAAAATAAAATTGGAAATTTTCAAATTGAACGGGGTGCGGAGGTTCTGGCTCCACAATCTTCTCCTCGACACATTTTTTCCTGCTTTTACTATTATCTCTGTTCTTCATGCTACATATTATAGGTTAGTGCAATCAGCTGAGCGAACAATCAACTGCCAACTTAGAAATATTAAGCTCAGCATACTGGTGCGCTGTTGGCAAGTTTCTGTTGCAACGTTTGGAGTTTATTTATGCATATTGGGTAAAAAATATTAATTGAGAAATGGGAATATATAATTTTAAGTATTTTAAACTCGATTTTATTCAATATCTACAAGCAAGTTTATCTCTCAAAGTATTGATTATTTTTTTTATTATTTTTCTACAAATCATGTAACCACGGTATTATTTACATTAAGGTGGTGACTAAAAGAAAGTCTAATATCTAATATATTTGTAAGGGTAGAATTTAAAAAGAAATAAATAAAAAATACTAAAACTTTCTAATTTTTGTAAAAAACGGAGTGTAAGATGGAGATGTATGTATATGAGGCAAAAAAATCGTCTTTCAAATATGCTTTATGAGATAGATTGGGATCTTTTTGATTTTTTCGAATTAATTTGAATTGTTTTTCAAACTTTTTTCTTTGTAGGCGAATAACTCCACAACGAAGTCCAATAGGAAAAAGTTTTTTTTTGAAGTACTACAATTATCTTGAGCTGCCCTGTATACCCCTTCATTTTTGACATGACCTTTCCGGACACCCTGTATATGTAGACAGGTTAACGACAAATTAAAAAAAAATCAATATCTAGATCACTTGACGGATTTTATTTTCTGTATCATTACATTAAATATTCACTATGAAGGATATGACTCCCGTAGTTGTTAATTCTCTTAACGACTATTTTGGTACAACAATATTAAAATTTATTATATCATTTAAATCAAGTGAACATAACGATCAGTGCACGGATGACTTATTTTTTTTACAAATAAGTGTATCTATCACACATTTGTACATATAAAAACAAATAACATTAAAAAAAATAAAAACACTTCATAATATCTATTTAGAGAAAGCAGTCTATAACAAATAGTATTTTTTCCCAAAACTACAAATTATGTTTAATTATTTTCTTGTGTGTTTCACGTTAATTTCTACGCCCACATCTAAAAGACAACAGTGCGAATTTCGACAAAATTCAATTTATGACTAGAAT